TGTTGTATTATTTACTTGAAAGAAGATTACTTTTTTGTATTATACCTGACTTAAATTCTTCAACACAAATTTGGACATTTTTTCCGACATTATCAAGTTTTTTGTTTATGGCAACACTACAGTTTTTGATGGCATATTTTTAATATCCGGTCTCAAATGAATGAAAGTTCAATTGATTCCGAATTTATTTTGCGTGCAGCGTCTAGGTTTTCGTTGACGGTGGTGCAGCTCCCAGTTCCCAGGCACTTGGCACTTTGCTGCAATTTTGTAGTTTTGATAAAATTTCGCAAGCATATTAAAAAGTTTTGCCCAACTTCGTTTTTACTTTTGCACATGCCATACGGCCATTGGGATGGCATAGGGGCGCTGGGCCGAGGGGGCGTGTCTCCGCACATGCCACTGACAGGCCAAAAGAGGAAGCTGTGCCTTATGGCTCTGCCAGCCACGGCTTGTTTGCTGCCAAAAAATAAAAAATAAAAAACGCAGAAATAGAGTATAAGAACTAAAAAAAATATCGAAAAGGGAAAAGGAATGTAAAAAGCAAGCAGTGCACTTTGCTTTGCTATTTAATTTTGCCGCTCAAAGGCCTGACAAGCTCCTGAGCAAAATAGTGGGTGGCGAGACCGGCAAAGGGGGACATTCTTCGGCAAACTTTCGCAACTTGTTTATGCGAAATAACCAATTAAATTCAGCAACGAGGGCATTGCTCATGCCAAACAACTAACTAAATATTATGCTCACACAAAGACTTGTGGTAATTAATAAAATGCAAACATATACTCGTAAATAATAAATGAAAACGCACAGAGTTCATAAATCGGGCGGAGATCATGCGCCTGAAAAAATATTGTATTTAATTTTTAACTCGCTTATATAACCAAATGAATTCCTAGAATGCCACTGTCAGTAGCCGAATTTTCAACATAATTTGGTGTTATTTTGGTTGCTTTGTTGCAGCACGCACACAGCAATTAAATCCAATTGAGTGCTGCTAAAATTTTTGTTCAACAATTTGTATGGCCCTCTCACTGTTTGTGTTTCTGCAACAAAAGCGCATTTAATACTGCATAACACAATGCATAAATCGGCCTTTATTGAAAAAAACCAAAGCCAGCAGTCTGACCTCACACCAATTGAGTTTACAGCTGCAGCTGCCGTTGGCTTTTTCCGGACTTAAACTTTAAAGCCACTCCTGGTTTGGTTCCCGAAAAATCATCGAATTGTTGACCTACTTGAGAGGCCGAGTGTCAAGTAAGCTTCTGACTTTAACGAGACTTGGGACCTGGCAGATTGTTATGTAAAGGCTTCCTGTCTCGTCGTTATATTGTTAAGAGCTTGTTAGAATAATGGCTAAATTGATGCACATGAGTAAAAGCACACAAGATTTAGTTTGAATGTTGGCCTGAACTGATTTGTGAGTAAGGAAAAGTGATTGTCTAATTCTTTTATCATATTTATTTATTTAATTTGCTTTTGTTACTGATAGTTAGAAAATATTGTCTGTAATCAATTTAGTCGAAGGGAAAATTGTGGTCTGGGGAAAAATCAAGTTCCAGGTAACGTAAACAATTCATAACTCATTTTATGACTCGTAAATATAAACGAAACAGGCTTATTTTTGTCAGATTATTATATAACAAAAATTATTTTTCAATAAGTAAGTTTTATATTGTATCGTTTTTTACATTTTTTAAAAGGTTTAATTTTTTTGAAACTTCTTTCCAGTCAATTGAAAACTTTCTAACAAATTCAACAATGTACATTGGTATAGGACATTTAAAAGTTTGGTTGTTCTCGAAGATTTATTCGTATATCTGGTTATCTTTTTTTATGATATGATGGGCTTTATAATCCATCAATTGAGTTGACTTTGGCATGTATTTTCAAAAGTTATATATAAGTGCTTTGCATTGCCAATTAGAGTTTCGGTTCTCGATTAAATTAAATGTTATTTAAAAAAAATTAAATTGTTTTGTTAAAATATATGTGTTTATGGACGGTCTGTTGAATAATTTATGTCTCAAAAAAAGAACAGTTTTTAAAATATTGGCCTGCTAGAAAGTAGGCAACCTTTTTTTAAGTGGTTATTAATTCCTCAAAAATAGTTTTATGGTGATTTTTTAACATAATATTCCAGTTCCTACAAAACTTTCGTTTTTCTGTGTTCTGTTATTGCTATAAATAACTAATTTGGTGTGATTGCTCACCGAATTACAAGAAAGAGGCAGCCGTCGAGTGCAATGCGGTTGCATGACAAAAGGCCAGCTATTAAAAAGCTGAATTTTAGTCCGACTCGTAAATTATATTCGCATTGTGTTTGCCTTTCAATAGCCGGTCGCCTGCACGCACACACTGTTAGCCAGTCACACACACACAGATACACTAGGCACACACACAGATACACCAGGCACACACACAGATGCGCCACACACTCGTTAGGCAGATGCATGTGTGTGGAAGTAAGAAAAAAATGTAGGTTTGCCTCTGGGCGTGTATTGGTTTTGTCGCTGTGGTTATGCGCGCTATTTCACAGACACACCAACACACACACAGACACACAGAGAGGCGCACACACAATAAAAATGATTGCATTGGCAGGACGATGACAGGATGAGCGGGGATATTTGGAGCCATGGAAGCAGCCGGGCTGCATTTGATGGATGACTTCGAAGCCATGAACCAGATGTGACAATTCAAATGCCAAAATTCAGCTCACCCACACACACACACACACACACCCAGAGGCCCAGGGGCGTAGTAACTCAGGGGGAGTTGTCAGAACATCGAATATTTTGCACAACAACGATCCCCCCGCGTACACGCACCTGCTCACACAGACCCTAATATTTCGTATTAAAAAATGCATCGAACAATATGCGAGCCGGGCCAACTCACGAGTTTTTATTGAAATTGAATTGTTGATAAGTTTTGTCAACACAAAACGCAGCTGAATTTAAATGGGGTTAGCTCTTCACACGCTCGCACATGCTGGTGAATTCCGAGGAGAGCTAGCTGGCGTAATTGATTTGCTCGGTATTGCTTTTGAAGTGCTGGGCTAAGCAATTATCAATTTTTTGCTGACATGTTCAAGTGTTGATGTGTGTAGACGGAAAAAAAATGTTATGTGTTATGTTATGATCATGATATTCAAAATTCGGCTGTAGTTTTTATTTAATATTTAATATTTTCTCAATTCTTATATTTATAATTTAGGTAACTTTTTTTGCATAGATTAATATGATAGTTTCTTATCCTCATAAATATTTGTTACAAAATTAAAACTAAAATTTAAAAATTTAATGGATTACATTCTAAAAATCTTGCCATAAAATAATTTTACTTTTTTCCTAATTAAAATTCATAGAAACATTAAAAAGGATCTTCATATGATTTGTGAATCAAATTTTTGTTGTTAATACTTTTAATATATAGCTACGTCAAAAATAAATGACTTTAATCTTTTGCTTATATAAATGGAGGCATGTTTAAATAATCTCAACAGGATGTCACTAAATCGATCCTAGAACTAACATTTTTTTCAAAAATAATCTGGATACATTTCCAATTTATCGAATGCACACTTGAGGGACAGTTGCAATGCGAAGAGCCCTTGACTTGATCAAGACCTATTCAAAATTTCGCAGTCGAATGCCGGTCGGGTTCAACAGCCCCGTGTCGCAAACATTTAGCATTTTATACGCTTCCTGCTGATGATGCTGCTGCTCCAACTGCCGGTCAGTGTGGCAACAAATGTTGCCAAACGCTGTGCCACAATTTGTTTAATTTGCGGCCAGCCAGCCGAACGGAACCCGACCCACTTACCTACACTTTCCGCTGGCCACAATAACCCACTTTGGCTGTCAGCCGGGCCAACATGTTGCTGACCCAAAACCGATGGATAGTTGTGCCACGAGCAGTTGGCTAAGAGAGCGCCTGCGCTTTGAGCCATGGCCCGAAGAGTCTCGGACTTGGCTTGCGATTTCTCTGCAAAACGATGCTGTCGCTCTGCCCAATTACTCAATAGCGTTTCTCAATCGCTTCAAACACGCGAATGTTGGCCATAAAACGCCTAACTCTTGTTCGCTGTTAAATGAGCCCATTGCCAGACGCAAAACAGGCCTTTAATTGCCAGACGAATCTGTTAGCCGGCCATTCAGTCATCCGGCCAGCTATTTGTTGACTGGCTTACAACTGTCAGAGGACAACTCGGATTGTCCTGACAAATGACTCGACTTTAACCCATTTGGTCTAACTAGCATTTAAGCCAAATGCGCGCTATTATGTGTCTGAGCATCAAAAGAGCGTCTTAGAGCACCTGAATTGTCTGCCAGCAGCTCCTCGAATTAGTCAAGCGACAAAAAGGGCTGACAAACAAAAAATGGCAGACACGATGTATATGAGGCAATTAATTTTACCTCGTGGATTGACAAAAGCCTTAAAGAATTAAATTGGCCTGCTTCGCGGAGGCTGGCACTGCAGCAATTTGCAGCTCATTTAAATTGCAGGCGCGTAAATCAAGACAGCAACGTGCAGCATTTGGCGCCCAAGGCAGCGCGTCCAGTCGCCAGCTCACAAATCAAGCGACAAATTGAAATTGCTTGACAAGGCCGCAGAGTTATGGCATCCATAAAAAGAGTCCTAAAAGAGCCAGATAGTAATGCAAACAAGACAACCAGAAGATGACAACTCGACGACAATTATTCTGCGTATTTTAACTCGAAAATATCGAAATTATATGTACAATTTGGATATATTTTATATTATAAATGGTTTATCAAATCATTACCAATTTTCAAGTCTTATCAACACATTATCAAAAATAAATATAAAATGGTAAATCTCTTATTAAAAAGAAAAGACAGCAAATATTTTTATTTTTTAATCCTTCAGTTTTAATTAATCAAAATCAGTTTATAAGCGTTTAAAAATCCAATATATAAATGATACAAGTGTGCAGTAATATGTCATGCTCACTTTTCTTTATTGTATTAGTATCGAAATTTAAATTATTTTGTTGTTAGTTTTCTCTTCCCAAAATGTGGAAAGTGCAGGCCCTAGTAGTGCACATCTTGTTGATGGGATCCGTATTGAGTACATATTTTCAACCGACTATATTGCCCAATCTCGAGCCGCAAAAGACTATGCGCGATTTGGGTTTTAAACCGCCAGCGGATCGACTGGTGGTATTTCTGACCGATGGCCTTCGGGCGGCTACCTTTCTGGCGAGGAATGGCAGTGATGTTCCGGATCTCCGGGATATATTCCGGAAACAGGGACGAATCGGAATATCCCGCACCTGTGCTCCCACTAAAACGCGGCCTGGACACATTGCCATCTTTGGCGGCTTCTATGAGGATCCCACAGCTGCGTTGGTCAACTTTCGCTATAATCCCAGCAATTTCGACACCGTCTTCAATCGCAGCAGGAATACCATTGGCTGGGCGCACAGAAATGTGGTAAAGATCTTCATTAGACTGCCGCACGGTGGTGCCCCAATGCGTTTCAAATCCTACATGGAGGCGGAATTACCGGAAAAACTTACTTGCGACAAATGGACTTTCGAAAAGGTTCAAAAGTTCTTTAAGAAAGGCGCCAATGTTCGGGAGTTTCGAAATCTAAAATCGGTGGTGTTTTTCGTCTATTTGGGTGACATGGATATAGCTGCACATCGGTTCAAGCCCCTAAGCAAAAGGTTTCATAAAAAGCTTCAGTACACACAGCGTGGAATTCAAACCACCTATGAACTCTTCGAGCGAGTCTTTAATGACAGTCGAACGGCCTATCTGATGACATCCGATCATGGCACAACTAACGAGGGTGGGTACTTACAAATTAGGTAGCCAAAGCTTCTTGCATTTAAAACAATGTTAAAATGAAGGATAAATTGATTTTTTCTAGACTTTTATAAAACCTTTATGTTAAAAACTAGAATATATACAAGTCATTTTAATCAAACTAATTGCAAACGTTGTCATATTGCTTACTTATTCTTAAAAGAAATGTTTTTTTTCGTATTTATCAGCTGTGTGTTTTAGGATAGTCTTATATACTTTTGTATTTTACTAATTCCAAGTGTAATCTTTCAGGAAGCCATGGCGGTGGATCCACACATGAAGTGGAAACGCCTTTGTTCATGTGGGGAGCTGGAGTGACTCGAGAAGTAGTGGATTCTGAAGGTAACTTCCCTGGTAAATCTCATATTTCACAGCTGGATCAGACTCAACTGGCACCCCTAATGTCAGCTTTGATTGGTCTTCCACCTCCGATGAACAACTTGGCCCTAATGCCAGTGGGTTACCTCAATGTCAGCGCTGAGTACGAAGTCATGGCTTTGCACCTGAACGTTTTGCAACTACTGTCGCAAGCCAAAATTCTTATTCAACAACATGAAAGTGCCATTTTCTACAAGTGGCTCCCCAAGTTCAAGGATCTGGATTTGGATCAGATTGATCAGTATTCGGGAAAATTAAATGCCCTGAAAGCAAAAGGCAATGTGAAAGAGGCAATGGAGACTTGCCAGGATTTCGGAAAATTAGCTCAAAAATGCCTGGCGAACTACCATAATTATTATTATCTTCCCTTAATGGTGGCCACTACCTTAACATACCTAATTTGGTTTTACTGTCTTCTACTTCAGCTTAGTCGATTATCCAAGGAGCAGAAGGAGGAAAGAAAGGGTTTTCTAACTTTCTCAACCCTGTTGTTAGTTCTCTTGGGAATCATACTACTTACTTTGTTGCGACTGCAAAATGTACCGCATATTACTACTTTTTATCTATTGTTACCACTTGGAATGCTTATAATGGCCCAGGCAGAACGTCCTGCAAAAAGTGGCTGGATTATGACACCGATGTTGCACTTGGGCTGCATTTTGCTGACCGCTGGTCTGCTGATATTAATGGCCTTTGTTTATCAGCATCTTTGGGTGCTTTATGGGGTGTCCGTACTCCTCAACAATCGACGAGCTTTCCTGAAGCCCTCCCTGAAGTTTTTCATCTGGCTAACGCTGGTCATACTATTGACTGGCATTCTGTTCGTACAGCTTAATATAAAAGACGGACTCCAAAGGATTCCCCTAAAAAACTACCAAGTCCTGTATATCAGCATGCTGTTGGCTATTATTCGTCCTTTGATCCTGGGACACCGACATGATCCACGTGTTTGGGCAATCAATTCGATGGCTCTGATAGCCGGAGCTTATGGAGTTTATCAATATGAGGTTAAGGAATCGGTGTCGGCTTATGTCTATGCCGTAACTTGGTCATTTCTGCTCTTTGCTTTTCTATCGATTCGATACTTTGAAAAATCCACTTCTACGGCCAGAAAAAAATTGGAACTTATTACTATCAACATGGTCACTATCATCAGTCTGCTAACCATCGTTTGGGGTTCATTAAATGTCCAAATTGTAATAACCGAATTTGTGATGGGCCTCCAGGTTTATGAGGACTCAAGGCGAAGCGACGAAGTTGAAGATCTGGAGGAGAATCACGATCCTCTGAACCGACTGAAACAATTCTACCGATATGGATACATGATTCTGCTATATTTCTATGTAGCCTTTTTCTTGGCTGGACATTGGCTTTCCACTTTTTTGTTCAAGCCGACAATAGCACGACTATTTTATCCCCACTTTTCTCTGTACATATCTGGCAGCTTGCTGATACTGAAAATCTTACTTCCATCCCTCATCTTCGTCTCGGCCCTCTATGCCATGGTTCCATTTGTCCGAAAAAACATCAGATCAATTTTAATTTGCGTTTTCCTCATCATCGACGCAATGGGCCTGTATATGTATTACTTTGTGCGAAATCGGGGATCTTGGGCATTGATTCGCAAGTATCTGGATCAAGTCCTGCTGACCCATGTTGTTAATTTCATGCTGCTGGGCTGCATCTGCATGGCCAAGATTTTCATGGCCAAAACTACAATGGAAAAACCAGAACGTAAGAATGTCCGGCATTCTCGACGGGCATCGTCATCTGAAGAAACTCGGACTTAAAATGTTTTTTCGGAAAGTGCAATAAAATTCTTTTGCTAAAGAAATATGTATTAAATGGGACTCCGCGCGAACAAAAATTTTATAAGCTATTTAGTTGTGCACAAAAGCCAAAAGTTCCCAAGCCAAAAGTACCAAACAAACAAGATTAGTAGATTAATTTTAATGAAATGCTGTTTTTTTTGCCTCTACTAATGATAGTAATTATCTATGTTTTTAGTAAATTAAGTACCTCTCTTTTTTTTTTGCCTCTATCTATGTTTTTAGTAATTTAAGTAACTCCCTTTTTTTTTGTTTTTGTATTATTTCAACCGCTAATAATGGACTGACATTCAATTCATTTCGTTAATCATTTAAGCCTTTGACACAGAATTAGCCACGCCCTCAATCGACCGGATGTTTGATATTTGTCATAATAATTAGCTGGCATTTGCCTTTTCGCCCTTACCACGACACACCCTACTAAAATGGAGGGTTGCCGGGCAACGACTGATTAAATGAGCTCTCCGGCTGACGTTTTCCGCTGCCGTTTGATGTAATTTTCTTATTTTTTCCAGGCCCATTCCCTAACCACATTTGCTGGGCTTATGTTTGCGAACTCGTCGCCCGTTGAGCCTTTGTCGCCAGCTATTTTATTTGCCTTGGCCTGCTCTGACAGCTTGTTGAGTTTATCCTGTCAATACACTCATGGCCGAAAAGGGAAATGTGCCGGGATTGGGCTCTAACTGGTATTGGGTTTTGCATTGAGCCGGCCGACAGGATTGATCGGCGGGCTGATTGATTAATTGACACTTTGCACATTAATTAGCCGGGAATCCTTTTATTTTGGGAGATGGCTGGCTTACACACATTGGATTCGTCCTTGGCCTTGAGGCAGATGCTTATTTATTTATTACTCAAAAAAAAAAAAATTAGACACTTCTCTGATTGGAAATTATGACAACTCGTCCAAGTGATTTTTTTCAAAAGTTTGCCCTGCATATGCTGGCCAAATTTATCGTTGATTAATAAACTCATTAGAACTTTCCTTGTTTCCTAGTCGCAACACATGGAGTGAACGAACTTTCGCCCAGATTTAATTGGAAAAGTTGGACTGCGCCCCCATGTAAATAAGTCAGTTGTTAGTTGGTTAATATTTTTCTCGACTTGGCACATCTACCGTACGTCCCGTCAAAATACTCTTCAACCTCAACGAGTCTTTCATTGTTGGGCATCTTTATTTTCCATAGAAACCCCGAAGCGTCGGAAAGGTAAGCAAAAGTAAAAGGATATACATATATATCGGGCGAAGACAAAGAATTATGCCGTCTTGTCGGTTATTAATGAGCCGCAGCCCCGGGGGAAGCTCTGAGTCTCGATTCTCTTTTGCATCGACTAAAGTTTCAATTTGGCGGCCGCCTAATGAGAATGCATTTGAAAGGTAAAATGATTAATGTCAGCGCCAGCTTGGGGCTTATCTTTTTGTGGGTTAACCGCCGCCACCGACGTGGATTTAATTAAAATAAAAGTAAAGCAAAGTTCCTGTGCGCCAGGAGCAGCTGTTATGGCCAAAACAATTTTGGACCAACTCATTCGGCCATTATTACATTTGGCAGTTAATTAAAATATTTATAAAACAAAATAAATTCCGTCACGAAATTGAATTGGAAAAGCGCTTTTTACCACGATATTTGTATATTACCTACAAAGGTATGTTGAATTCAAAGGGATAAATGTATCACAAATAAATTATTTCAATGAAATATTTCTACTTACTTAATTTTATAGTCAATGAAAATTATCGCTTAGTTGCTCTGCTAATTTAGTAACTGACACATTTTACAACTACTGCCAGATATTTAATAGTCGAGTTTCCTGTAATATTGTACTTTTTGTTGGGGTGTAAATTAGTAAAAACCCAGCGGCAATTTAATTTGCTATTAAAATTTTCGGCTATCAAACCAATGAATCATGCACACAAAATGTTTCAAATATGCTTAAAAGTTATATGCAAATTTAATGAATTTGAATGCAATGTGAAGTTTTTTTTTTATTTGCCTAAATGTTAAATGCAAAAACCAAAATAAAATCTATAGCCAACTGTGCTATGCTATTAATTATGCGAATACTTTTGCAGGATGAAAATCACGGCATTTATGTTTGCCATTTGCACCCGTTTCTGTGCATTAGTTATACACAGGTATTTAATGAAGTTGAAATAGTTTTGGAAATATTTCCGATACCGAGGCAGAGAGCGTTGGCCTTTTATTGCAAATGCATTATTCAAGTGGATTAGCCATGAATGCTTTTTAGATAATACAGACCGCATCGTTGGCTTCACGGGAAAAACAATCACGTAGAATGAACAATGTTTTGGACACGTGGCAAGTGGAATACAAAAAATATTAGGATTCATGCAGATAAAATGGAGGAGTACAATACAATACCATCCTGATATTGACAATGTTCACTTCAATGTCACTCAAGTTTGAAAGCATTTTCAACTCGGTTTCCCTTTTAATTGCATATCAATTACAAATTAAATTCGCTCATTCTCATACATACTAATATTGAATTCGATTTCTTTAAAGTTACATAATTTTTAATTTTTTAAAAATGAAAATAAGTACAATAGTAACATGTTTAATATAATGTCAATTTCATGACAATTGTTAACTTTTTAGCGTATGACCTTATCAAACTTTGTAAAAGCTGACCCAGACTATTGGCCTTTTTGAAGTGATATCTCTTCACAATCGTAAGTGGTAGACAGTCGAAATTTGCCATCTTTAATATACATATTACTATCGTACTTTTCATCACGTTCTGACCTGCAAACAAACTCACACACATCCGAAAACCCGAAAGTTGTTTGCCTTTCGAAGTCGTAATTGAGTACGCCGTGCGCATGTATAAATAACAAACCAAAGTGTCCTGCCCCAAAAAGTTTCGTTCTCAGGAGCCATTTTGGGAGCCATATCTCCTTTGTTTTCTATTAAACAATTGACAAAGTGCCTTGTCCTTGGCGCTGGCTGATGCGACTACACATATAAATTATAATTTAATAAGAAAACAAACGAAAAATTCAATGGCGCCATAAACCATAAAAAGACGCTGCAAAGTGCTCGGCTGTGTGCGCGGATGTGTGTCGAAAAACAATAAGCAAACAAAGCCCAGGACGAAAAGAAAACGAGAGTAAACATTGAAATCATCTTTGACGGCGGAAATCGAGCTTACAGGATCGGGGGACGAAGGCTCGATTAAGTAGCATAAAGTGATGATAAATGCGACATTGAGCAACAATAAATTGTTGCCTTTTGTCTCTGCTCTGTGCGAATGGTTGTTGTTTTATGGCTGTGACTCCTGCTACCAGGATTCGCACTGCTTGCCATTGACGTGTTTGACTTATTGATGCTTCGTGCCGGGATTAGCGATGCGACCCACACTGCGTATGAGCAACGCAAATATACCGAAAATCATAAAGCAGCCCTGATTAGCATTTATATGCGTGTGTGTGTGTGTGAGTGTGTGCGTTTATATTTCGCTGCTCATTCAATTGTTTATTGGTAATTTGAAATTCATTGGACGACAGCATCAGTCGACAATCCTCTCGAGTTTATGGTCCTGCAGACAGCGCATTAAAGCTTAAAATCAATCGAACTGATTTCTTGGTGGTGGTGCACATCCATTGATTTGCGGGTAGACTAATTATACACTGCCGTAAAATACTTGGTGAGTAATTAAATCGTGGTAGTAGGAAAATAAATACAAAGCATTTTATAATAAAAATAATAAAATAATTAGCTACTGTACTTAATATTATTTTTATATATACCATGCGGATTGCATCCTTTTATTAAGTAATGACACTATTCCTAACATGTAAAAATTGGGTAATTTTTGGTCTGTTTATGTTTTGCTTATAATTTCTCACTATGCAGGTCAGTCTTTCAGGGAAATTCTCTAACGAAACCGCCGGACACATTTGAACTACATTTGAGCCGCAATTTAAGCTTCATTGCAACCAGCATGCCCATGGCCAAATGTAAGGGCCAAAGTTTTCCACTTAAAAAACGCGAAGTTGCCTCAGTGCTAGAATTGTTTTTCCTCTCTTCCATTTCTGCACTCTCCCACCAGCTTTTGGTCCTCATCTCATCTCGGTTCTTGGCTGCTTTGGCCGCAAGTCGTGCCACTTGCCACAGGAAAGCCAAACCGAGCTGCAAGCTGCACAGCCGGAGCTGAGTTCGAGATTACCTTGGTTTACATTGTGCTACGTTTGCGGCTTAAATATTGTATTAAGTTTGCTGGCTGGTGATTGGAAAGCAACTGCACATAAATAGAAAAGAAACGAGCGGGGCATTCCCAGAGCAAAGTTCACCTCATGCAGCTGCCTGCCGCTTTTCATTGCAATTTTGCATTATTTGCAACTGGGGGTTGGCCGCCGCCAGTCCATTGCTCGGAGATCTGTTCAAAAGCCAAGTTAGCAGCCACTTGAGTTGCTTGCTGCTATTAGCCGGGCCAACAGGAGAAGGAGATGGAGCCGCATCAGCAGCTGGATTGCGCATCAGACCAACCGGGCCGGGCAATTGCTTAATTGCAACTTAAGCTCAATTTTCCTGTTGCCCCACCCTTGCCTATCTTCCTGGAATTTTCTCCGCCCTGTCAGTCTGGGCCTTGTCTGTTTGTTGTTGGCACATAAAACCTTGGCCGGCTCACAATCGTTGCATGTAATGACTGGCATTTGCGGACGCTCCGATATGAGTCGAGGTGAAAGGGGCACGGTCCGAGGGCACTCCAACTGTGTGGGCATAGATAAACAGGCCCACTTGAAAAGCCCCCGGGCTTAGCCCTTGAGCCGGAGCCACTTAAAACGTAAAGTTGCCCAGGTAGGAATTAGACTTCCAAATCCGAGATAGCTATCCTTAAATGTAGTTTAAGTGTGGTCTACTTGCGGCCTTCCCCAGCCGCAAATTATCCTTTTAATGCCGCAAATCGAGTGCCAAACATCAGTGCGCCATGAGTTTCCCTTTGCTTTGTGTAAACACACATCTGTTTTCTTTACCTTCATATCCACAGTCAAAATTCAAATCGTAGAAATGACTGAGGACGAGCAGACTAGCGATTTTCTCGAGGAGCCGTCGAGCAGCATAAAAGTCGATGGCGAAGAGGAACTCAGCGAATTGTAAGTAATTTTACAAATGCATAATTAACTTTTTGGATTACGGTTCTTATTCTGGTTCTATACTTTTAAAAAACATATCGTGAAAGTCTACACTTTTCTTATTCCTATATAAATAAAAACATATATAATGTTTTCTAACCTTCAGTGATGATGAAACCAAGAAATTGCTGTTCAGCAGTCGTACCAAAAAGGAGAAGGACACCTGGGAAAAACTCCCCGAAGTCAGCCTGAAGAACATGGGCTTTATGGAGTCGATGGAAGACATCAATTTCGAATTCGGCTGCAGCAAGGAGTTTCTTATCAATGGAATAACAGATTTGGTGGTCAATAAAAAGTGCACCGATGTAGAAGTCCATGTGGGCGATGAAACATTTAACTGCCACCTGCAAGTTTTGCAATTAAGCACGAAATACTTCAAGAAATTCAAAAACGTGGATTCCGTCACCTTGAGTTCAGATATGGTCACTCCTAAGGGTTTTGAGCTGGCCTACGAATGGATGATCCATACGGAGGCCAAGCCGCAGCGGAATCACATCATGGAGCTTTATTTGACGGCCAATTTCCTGGAGATGACGGACCTACTCGCCCAATTGTGGAGTAGACTAGACGATCCCAAGTTGCTCAATGGCTTCGAAGCATTTCGTCTTTATTTGGAGTGTTTACCCTTAAAGGCGAGCGTGTTGCAGGATCTGATGCTGAGTCGCATCCATGATTATTTTCTGATTGCCGTGGCCACCGAGGAATATCTAGAACTGGAGCCGAAGTACGTCTTTAAGATGCTCAGTCACGAGAACATGTGTGTTAATTCTGAGATGGAGATGTTTATGAGTGCGGTTAGGTGGTTGCTTTATGACTGGCAAAATCGGAAAGAGGTTGCGGTTACTATAATGCAAGCCATACGCTTCAATCTGATGCCATCTTGGTATACCACCGTCCTAAAAACCAAGCAAGTGGATGAGAAGTTCCAAGAATTGTTGGACATATCGGAGATCCAATCGATGATCAATCTGGGTCTTTCCTTTTCAATAACCCAAAACATGTTGGGGCCCACATCACCGCTGAGGGAGCCTCTCCAGATGCAAAAACCTCTTGAACGCCAGTGGGTCCGCAATCCAAGCATTCCACATCACCACAGATTCGAGTGCCCCAAGTGGCGTTACCTGAATCTAGACGTTTTCAACGAGTACATCCAGCACATAATCAATGCAGGACATCGGTATGTGCCCTCCCTGGAGTATGTGAAGCCAGAACAGCTGATGTCCTGCTGCCACGAAGCCTTGCAAAAGAAATCATTAAATAAATAAACCAGTAGAGTGCCAACCCAAACCTGCATGTGTGTGTGTGCTCAAAAACACCCATGGGTGCCATATAATTGCCACAAATAATTTCATTAGCCGGGTCGGCCCGTTTGGGCTTTGGTTTCACATACGCATTAAGCGTTTCCAATTAGTTGAATGGCTGGCATTTGCTCAATTAATTGTCAACGTTTATGAACTAAGCACTTAGTCGTGGACGTGTGGGTGGGGACACTCCCAGTGTCCTTATGTGTGCCCTGCACAACACCTACCAATTGCGACTGCGAGCAAACAAACCACAATCACACATGCAAATGTCAATGCCCCGGGGCTGTCACATCCGCAGAACTGCAAAGAAAGAAAAACAATTTTTGTTTAAACAACACCAAAGCCAGTGCAAATGCTGTTAAAACCTAGCGGAAAAACAAACCAATCGACAGGTATAATCAAAATATTTTCACAAAAAATAACACAATTAACATGCAGAAATCAGGAAACAAAATAAAATCGATTTTACGTATTTTTTCAGCACACTTTTAATAGTCTTATTTGAGGCTTTTCCGGATTTTACTGCAAATGTTTGAATAACTTTTTGTTTACCTTTGTACTACCATTATCCTGCCTTCATAAATTTTTAGCTGGTGCATTAAAACAATAATACAAATGCAATTGATTTGGTACGCGACCCCAAAACAAACAAAAGGCCAAATAAAAATTACAAAATTCATCGCTTTTTTTTGGCCCACGTAATTTAATTGTCTGCAGTTGAGGCGCCATGCGATAAATCAATTACTACAGATTATGCTTCAGATTATTAAGGACTTTTTTTGGCTCTGCCAGCCTCCTTTTTTACACCCTAAGAGCCATCTGTGGCTGATGTAATCCGTTGATGCGAATGAAGATAGATGCATCTCTGGCAGTTGCAGCGGCCCAATAATTGACGCTGAATATGATGAATGAGTGCCAATTACAAGTGGGCGAAAAAGAATCAAAAGACGATTAATGAGACCAAGGCGCAGTGCGAATTCCAAGTCAGTGGATGAAAAATAAATATTCAGTGTCATATTCATTTTCTTTAATTTAAGCCCATAATCATAATGATCAATTGAAATTTGATATTTTGCATAAGAAAAAAAATTAATTCTACATTTCAAAATAAACAAAAAGAACATTTTTTAATAATTTCTATACTTGTGAAAAAAAAAACATAAATATTTCTAATTAATATTCAAAGTATTTTGTTGAAACCCCATTATTTATTTTTCTTTCTGTTGAAGTATAACCATTTTCTGCATAGTGCATTTAAATACCTATGAAGCTTTAAGTCTATTGTTCGGCAAAATAAACCATGACAAAAAATCCATTTTGATCTTTCATTGCTCTTTATTGGCTGTTGCATAAAACTGATAATCCTATTGTGGTTTTGCTTGTTCCCTTTAATTGCCCTTACACTACGCTTTCACACACACGCACACACAAAAGCGGCTTTAGGTTTCATGTTTTGCGGCGGCTGCGTTTTTGAAGTTCCATTACTCAAACTCTAAGCGCTCGAAGGGTGAATCGAATAGGAAAACAGTAGGGAAACTGTTTGGCGGCAAACTTTATGGCGGGCCCTTTGTTTCAATTGTTCAACTTGCCGAAAAGTTGGCCAATTCCGCCGCTGGCTGGCCCTCACATTTTGAGTGTTTTTAGCTTAAAGGCAGTCGCCCTTAAAGCTTGATTAACTAATTGCTTTTCGCTAATTTGATTTGTCGGAATTTCAATTAAAGACGACCGCGATAAGATCGCAATGAATGTCATTATTAAAACGTACTTCTTGGGTCGACACACGAAAAAACTATGAACCAGCAAAATGAATTTCAAAAAGGTAAAAATTCAGATTTACTCATACAAAGCTTTTTTTGCCCAAAAAAACCTTTTTAAAATATTTATAAACGGAAAAAGTGAATAAAGAACAGCTTTCTTGTCCAGACGTTCTATTATTTTATGAATGTAAATATAAAAAGTGAAAAGGCGATTATTAAGTATAATCCGTAAATAGCTCCTACACTTTGTTTTGTCGTAAAAGTATAAAACAAAATAAGAAAATTAAATGGATTAGGAAGTTTAATTAAGATTAGGGTTTTGGAATTTTCGGGGCTATTTCTCAAAACGTTTTCCCATCCAACCACAACTACAAGTATGCATAATTTGCTGATTGCAATTAAAAGCAATTATGCTTGGTGTCCTTGCAACCACAAACTCATTAGCTTGTTGCACCAAAACCGCAATGCAGCATATCCCACAACAACAGCAGCAGTGGAGCAGCAACAACGACGAAAATTACTTACACATATCTGTGGGTCAGGGGTCATGATGTGCGATTGTGCTGGTGTGTGAGTGTGGGTCACTGGGAAATAACCCCGCCCTTGGTAGACTAGCCAAAACGATTCGTCCAAAGGGATTGCCGAAAACCAAATCGAATCGCTGGCAAAATTGCACAGCTTGACGCCATCTTTTTGCCCAACCAAGTCCTTCCCTTCCCTTTATTTTCTTTTCTTTTTTTTTTTGTATCCTGCAATTTTTTGGACACAGTTTTTGACGTGCGTGTGTGAAGTGCTTTCAAACAAAATGGTCACAGCAAAGTGCCCACAGCTCTGGAGGAAAGTGGACCGGGTTTGTTTAGAAGGTTTTATGCATATGTCCGACATGTGGAAAATTCCATTAGGAAGTTTTCTTTGTTTGCATACATTTGCATGCCCCTCTCTCGGCTCGATCTCTCTCTCTCTCTTTCCCTTTTTCTGACCTTCCATCAGAAATAATTTATTTGCGGCCATTTTTATTATTATTATTTTGTAATGGTTTTCGAGTGTTTGCAGTGGCTCACAACACAGCATAACACAATACAGCACGGCAAAGAAATGGGAAATGATTTGCATAAAATCGATTAAACATTTTCAGCAAATAAAATGCATATTGAAATGAAATGAATAGAAAGCAAGCCAAAAGCACCGACGCAGCAACAATATGGTCAGTTCGTTCTCAGCCAAGGGCCATGGATTCTTACGAGTTTTCCAAAGTCCTGGCCTGATTCTGTAGCTTTTGTTGGGCCAAGTGCCTGCCAGGATACCAACATGGCTAAGTGGGGGTAAGCAGGATAAGCGGAGGGCCACTGTGTGTTGTAAGGATTTATCAAATATTGCACAATCGATTCACCTTACGTCGTATATTTCATTGCAAATTATTGCCCGCCCGTTCAAAAGCAATAACGGCAAAATGAAACAAAATTCATTTAACTTAAATTGCTTTGCTAAGAACTCGATAATAATCTTACCGAATAACAAACTCACGGCCAGAAACTCAATGGACTAATTTATATGCTACTCGTTGTGAGTTCAAATATTTTTCAATCATTAAAATATGAAGTATCCATATAGACATTAATTATGCTCAGACAGCAATTACACTTGAGACCGGCCAATTGACAGGCGAACCATTGAATTTAATATGCACATTTGGGCCAACAATCGAGGTCAGAGCGACAATGCCTTCGCTTAAATCTGATTGGTTCGATGGACCGAGTTAAAAGGGAATCTTAACCATCGTTTACGGCAAAATGAGATGTGTAATCCTGTAGGGCAAACAAATACCAAAGTTATTTGTATTTAATTTCTTACGCAAGCAAAGTTAATTAATTACTTGAAGGCTTTAAGGGCAACACTCTTGATGGCCCTTGCCTGGAATTACAATAATTTAAGAACTTGCGCTCCAGCTCACTGGAAAACTCACTTAACAAACTAAAAGCATCCGGGGTAAAGTGGCGAAAGGGTGGATCAAGCTCTCAGAATCCGCACTGCACACTGCACACTCTGGCATTAATGGCAACTTAAGCTGCCCTAAGTTGCAACAATAGCGGGCACATCAAATATAAATGATGCCAACCCCCCTTCCCCCCTTCGAAACAGCTGGCCACGCCCCCCAAAAATAACTGGCCGACCGCCCACAAGGCCACAGTTCGTCAGCCGAAATGCAAATGCAAATGGAAGCGAAAATTAACGTGCATTTCTCGTTTGCCTGCCGTTTTCCCTCCCGCGGGCGACTCCAAAAAAAAACAATTTCGGATACAATTTAAGAAGGATTTTGTTTTTGGCTCTTGCTCTTGCTCTCGCTCTTATTATTGTTATTTCCGCTCTGCATGGCTAATGAAGCAAAACGGAAAAGCGGGCCAAGAGCCAGCTAACCCTGAACTACAAACACCCGCAACATCGGCCAGCTGCAGTTTTTCGACAACTGCTCAAGATACAAAACTGCAATTCAATTGCCCGCCAGGCAGCCAACCAAGCAGTCGGTGCACTTAAAGGCCAGCTAAAAAAGAAAAATGCGAGCAAAAAGGAAAATTGCTTGCAATAAATTTCGAATTAAATAGAAATTTGCACAGTCAACTACCGTGGGCGGTGGTTGGGGGCGAAAGATACCGAAACCGGACGGCTAGCAAGCGTAAAAAAATGCAAATCTCAACTAATTCTTATAAATTATTTAATAAGAAAAAGTCAAATGATTCATTTTTAAGCTGCACCCTTCATCACCAAAGCTCAGCTGGAGCTGCAGGCAGCTAAAAATGGCGGGAGGTGGCCAAAAAAAAAGAAACCCAAACGGCAGCTGGAAAAGCTATAAAAAGCGCAGCAAAAGAGAAAAGTCAGGACCGGAAAATGGCAAAGACTGCAGAAACAAGAACGGAAGGCTGGCTGGGAATACACTTGCAAGCTAAATTTGTAGTTGAAATACGGATTTGTGTTACCCCTATCAGGATTCAATTGTATATTTAATGTGCGAACATTTTTATAAAAACCTTTTTTTTTCTATCAAAAGAATAACATTTACTAAATGAATAGTATAAGGATGAGCCACAGTGGCATTTCATAGGATCCAATTGTTTTTAAAAACTGAGGTTATAATTAATGAAACAATAAGATCAATTTTATTTTCCAAAGAATGTTTTCAGAATTGGTATTGAAAGTAAGCAGAAGTCAATCATTTTCTATGG